CCAAACCCCAACCCCAAACCCTTACAAGCAGCATCCTTACTGACATGGGTAATTATTTCCCTAACAATAACTGAGATAGTGATATCCTATGCAGATGCATTAGGCTTGGTGCACCTTGGATTGAATCATCACAGCCCAGGAAGCCATCATTCTACCCCACATTCTTATTTTATAAATAATAATTATTACGTTATGCTTCATACTACTGCTTCTTCCTGTAAAATTGAGTTGTTGAATCTTTCTTTACTTATAGCAACCTCAAATTATGAGAGGTTTTGGATTATAGAATCTAAAACCTAATGATGTAAATCGTAATACTTTGCAAATATATACATCTAGATAGTGTCCATAAAACTAAAATGCACAGGACTCTATTAATAATGCTTGCTCCAAAAATTACTCTGATTATATGATATTACTTGAGAAATATTTTAGAGTTCTACTCTACTATCTGATGATTTCAATGTTGTTAATTTTTTTTCTACTAAAATCTCATGATTTAGCAGCTACCTTGGAAAACCCCTCATCTACATATGTAGCATGTAATTAATTAGATGATTTACCACTACTAACTCTAGTATTATAAATAGCAATCTTATCCTAATTAATCTTCTTAATATAATTTTTTATTGATTTGCATAAAAGTTTGCAAAAATTTGAAGATTCTAGTGACAAAAACTCAATATTAATTAGATTTATTCCCCTAATATCTCACCTCAATATGTCTTATACTTCTTATTTTCTAACAAACTTTATTGGAATCAAATTTGAAACATGCATAGTAATTACTCTAGGATACATAAAATAATGTTCATCTCTGTTCAATGCTTAACTTATGAAAATGCTATGGTGTAACATTGTACAACCATGTAGTACTTTATATTGTGATATTTCAGACCAAGCAATAATGAGGTTATCCTTAAACTTCAACCACTATTCTAGCACTATTAAATTAGTGATGGGTTAAAAAGCATACATGCTTAACTGTGACTCATATTGTAAGCTATTCAAAGTAAAAAAAATTATTTGAACTGTAATAATCCTTGCACCTTATGTGCCATCTGCTTACCTTATATATATATTATAAATAAGTTAAATTTTGTTTTTCGCTCACATTGTGTTATTCAATGGGTTGTTAATTTCATATTAGTAAATTAGGTGATAAAACCAAAAAACTATTTAAAACAAGTCATGCATTATTTTTCGCATGATCTTTACTTAACTGCTCTATAACTAATTATCATAATTTATCTTATGCAACTTTCGTATTTATTATAACAAGTTTTAATCATAGTTCATATAGGTTAGCAACTCTTGCACTAGATAGCTACATGCTGGTGTCTTTATATTCCCCATCCTATAGTTATATCTGTAGACCTCTAACTTCCCAATATTGAACAACATATATTGAATACAACAGTAAGGTGATGCTCCTTGCTCACTAACTGGATGCTTCTTATTGTGTGACCCATTGTGGGCGAAAAATATTTGAGAATTTGATTTTGTTAATACACATATAATTCGTGTTAAGTGATCTTAAGTTTAATCTCAGCAATGTGCTTCTTGTGCTTCTAAATACTGCGAAAGATATTCATTTCCTTGTGATATATATGAGATAAGAAACTACTTTACTGGTATCATTTTAACTTCTCCTATTAAATTGTGTCCTTGCCTTGTTCCATTAATTAAACATCTCCTTGATCTGTTAAGTGTAATTTATTGTCGAATATAAAAAAATAAAGGTATTGCTTTATGCAAAAACCTGATTAGTTAAGGGCAAAGTATTGTTAAATATTACTATTTAGATATTACATTATACAATTTGAATCAATATGAAGATGCAATTGAATGTTTTAATGAAGCCATTCTAAATCTGTTTGTGAATTGATTAGCAAGGGTAATTTATTGTTAATTATTATTATATAGGGTAATGCATTATACAATTTGAACAATTATGAAGAAACAATAGAATGTATTAATGGAGCTATATCTACATCTGTTGAGGCATTTATTAGTAAAGGTAATTTATTGTTTAATATATTATATAGGTATTGCATTATACAATTTGATACATCTATTGATCTTAAATCTGTTGATTCATGGACTAATAAGTATAATTTATTGTTTATAATAAAGAAGCAATTCAATGTTAGAATGATGCTAAATCTATTGATGCAAGGATTAACAAGGGTAATGAATTTTTAAATATTCATTTATAGGTATTACATTTATACAATTTCGAATCAATATGATGTATGCAATTAAATATTATAATTGTTCATAGATTAAAAAGGGTAATTTATTGTAAAATATTGATATATAGGTATTGTATTACACAATTTGAATCAATATGAAGAAGTTATGTATTGATTATTAAATATTAATTAATATATATATATATAGATATTGCATTTGTACAATTTGGATCAATATAAGTTTTAAATGAATATCAGAATGATGCTTTCTCTATTGATCTTAAATATGATGATGCTTGAATTCAAAAAGATAATTTTTAGTTAAATATCAATGTGTATGTATTGCACAATCAGAAGATACATTTGAATATTACTCGTAAGGTAATATCTATTGGACCCTAATTGGATTAATAAGGGTAATTTATTGTTAAATATTAATACATAGGAATTGCATTATACAATTTGAATTAATAATAAGATGTAATCCGATGTTAGAATGAAGCTAAGGTATTGCAATATAGAATTTGATTTAATCTGAAGATGCAATTCAATGTAAGAATGAAGCTATATACAGATCTGTTGATGCATTGATTAATGCATTATACAATTTCAATTAATTTGAAGATGCAATAGGGCAATTTATTGTTTAACATTAATGCATAGGTATTGCATTATACAATTTTTAAGATGAAATTTAATGTCAGATATCTAATAACTCTAATGATATTGATTCATGGATTAATAAGGGTAATTTTTATGGTTAAATGTTAATATATGGATACTAAAATTTTACAATTTGAATTAATATGAAGTTGTGATTCAATGTTAGAATGAAGCTAGGTAATTTATTGTTAAATATTAATTTATCTCCGGTATTGCATTATTCAATTTGAATGAAATATGGAAGAAGCAATTGAATTGAATGTCACAATGAAGCAATATCCCTTGACCCTAAATATGTTAATGCCTAGATTAAAAAAAGTATTTTATTGTTAAATCTTAATATATTAGTATTGCATTAAACAATTTGCATCAATTTGTTAATTTATTGTTAAATACTAATATATAGGTATCACATTACGCAATTTTTTATTCAAATTGAAGAAACTAGGTATTTTATTGTTAAAATATTATGATATCTAGTTATTGCATTCTAAAATTTGAATCAAAATTTTTTTTTTATAATCAAAGCAATTTGTATCAACAGCAAATGAATTGGTTTATCGAACAATTTAATATTAGCCTTTTTTATGATTTCTGCAAAAGATTAATAAGGGTAATTGATTGATATAAACAGCAATTGAACATTAAAGCAAAATCATTTCTATTAATCCATTTTAATAATAAAAGTTTTATAAGAAATGAATATTTACAAGAGTGAAACTAATTGTTAAATATTATTATAAAAGGTATTACATTATCAATTAATATAAATTTTGGAGATTATCTATTAAACTTAAAAAATAAAAAAATAAGAATGATGGTGATAATTTGGAATTTGCTTTATTTATTGATATTCTATGAAAATTTAAACCGATCTGGAATGTCATCCTTATTATTTTAATATTGATTCAAGTTAAATTCCCTTGAGTATTTTATAATTTATGCTGCAATTTTCTATCTCACTAATACAATAATTTAAAACATACAATTTCTTCCTTACATCAATGAACATCGATTTAAACAGGGGTTAATATGTTAAGTTTAATATTAGTCACCTCAAAAATTGGATGCTTGAGCCATTTGTTGGATTACTGATTATCATTAATTAATGCTTTCTCACAACTTTAATTAAATTTAGATCTTCATCTTAGAAGTAGCACAAAGGAAAATATAGTAATTAAATATATATAAATATAAGATATCTATTTAGAAAATGACTTGCTCATAATTAAAGTGTAAATCAGCCTAAATAAATGTGGCTTTTGGGGCACCTACTTTATAATTGCTTTCTATTAATGCAGTTCTAATATTTATTTACATGAGTGCTGTTTTTGAGCACTTACTTTACCTGGGTGCGGTTTTCAGAATTTATTTTTATGATTGCCCCAAATCTGCTAGGTTTTTGACTACCCATTCTAAAATTTCTTCAAATAAATGCGGTTTTCGAGAGTCCATTCCACAATTACTTTAAATAAGTGCGGTTTTGGGGCATCACTTAAACAATTGTTTCTAATAAGTACGGTCTTTTAGTTTCGCTTCTACAGTTACTTTAAATATGTGAGGTTTTTGAGTACCCATTCTACAATTGATTTAAAATAAGTGCTATTTTTGAGCATCACTTCTACAATTGCTTTAAATAAGTGCAGTTTTGGGGCACCTACTTTATAATTGCTTTTAATAAATGATGTTTTTGAGTACGAGTTCTACAATTACTTTTAATAAGTGCGGTTTCCGAGTACGCCTTCTACAATTGCTTTTAATAAGTGCGGAAATTATGCACTAGTTCTCCAATGATTAATCGCTTCTCATAAATAGCATTAATTAATTGATCTATTCTCATTTAATCTTTTCCTCTCTCCACCTAAACACCTCATTCTCTCTTCACTCTACATACTTTACACCCCTCTTTTTGATCCCAGAAGGTCTTCCTGTAGGGACCGGGACTCGTTGCCTTCTCGTGTAATTATTCACCATTATTTAGGCCAACCCCAAACAAAGTCATACTACAAACCCTAAAAGGCCAACCCCTCCTCCTTCTATTTCAAAATATTTGTTCCCCTCTCTTCAATTTACTTTGAGGATCCCCCTATGTCAGAATATTCTATAAGGGTCAATTAAAAGAAGGTATTTGGGGATCAAACGGTCTACCTACCAAGCCAGAAAAGGTTTTGTCATATAAATTTCCTAGTAAGCAAGCCAAAAAAAAGGTGTGTGGTTAGGAAAGTCTTCTGGAATTCACAGCAGGGATCTTTTGCCCTTTGTATAAAATTAGAGAGGTATAACATAGTGATTTCAAATATGTTACCTTTAAAAAATTTAAAATATAGTAATTGCAAGTCTAAATTGTTGAAGACCTTATATTTCTGTTAAATAAAATAATTATGGATTTTAGCGATGATTAATAAAACAACTCATTATAATTAGATAAGGATGTCCTTTAAACATCATTTTTGTTGATTTTAAAACACCTTAACTTATATAATTAAATTTTCATCATGGAAGTGGAATGCATTTTTCATTGTATCTAAAAAAAGTGAAAACATTTTATAGGTTTCTCCCAAAAGAGGAAAAAATATTAAAATAGTAGAAAAAGACAATAAAATCATGTATCAAAAGGAGAATTTTTAAGATATAATAAATGACTTAGTCACATTCAAAGAAAAAAATATTTTCTTATGATATTTACAATTCAGCTATAAAGAATAATTTAGTTGATTCTAAATATTATTCTTTTGAGCAAAATTCTCAACAAATATAGTTAAGCAATTAAAAAACTAATAAAGTAAAGTTTCGTTAAATTAAGTTAATTGAAGATGCTTTAGAATTTAATGTTTTAGAAATATAAAAAAATCAAGAAGATTCTTAGTATTATTTTAATAAAGGTATAATCCAAAATGATGGATATATTAGCTAATACTCTAGAAAAAATGAACAGATATGAAGAAGCTTTGGAAATTATGATTCAGCAATATAAAAAATCCTGAAGTTTCAGGGTATTATTTAATAAAGGTATAATTCAAAATGTATGATACTTAGCAAATACTCTAATAAAAATGAATAGACTTGATGAAGCTTTGTATAATTATGATATAACAATTTAGAAATTACCACAAAACTCCATCTATAATTCAGTTAAAGGTATAATAGTATATTTACGAATTTTTAGCACTCGCTTTAAATATAATGATTATTATTAAACAAGAATAATAAATGTTCTGACAATTATTTACATATTAGAAACGAACATTTTATATAATATAAAAGCTCAACAATAAAGTATTTGTTATTTTACTTTTATTTTTCCTTTACTTTTCTATCATAAACTGCTGATCTAGTTTTTAATAGTAAAAATTTTACAATCATAATTTTTTGAAATTATTTACAACGTTATTTATACTTTGTCTGCTTTCTTTTTATTTACTCTTTTGAATTCCTAATTATATACTTTATCAATATTTGTGCTTTTTTTATGCCTCCTTTTACTAATATAATTCACTATATTCTTAATGAAACAAATTTATAATTGAATTTGAATTATTTTAAATACTTTATTATTCATATTTATGGTATTTATTCTCATTCTAATATTTCACATTCAAGCACTTATTTAACTAAATTTTTCAAACAGCTATTCTTTTTTTAAATATTTCTATATTTTAAAAAATTACAACTTTGAGGGTTTTGAATATTAGCTTCCCTAATACATTTAATTGGTGTTAGAAGAAGATGAATTATTTAATTTTATTAAATCGCTCCTCCTTATCTATATTTACCATTCTTAAATGATCCACTCCACACATCCCTTACTATATATCTAAACCATAATATAATATAATTCCAAAACAAAAGTTAACCTTATTCACCTTACAATTCAATAAATTACTTATTCAAATTTTAAAACTAATCAAGGTTATCTTAGATTGTTCGGTTTTCACTAATCTAATGAATTGTGACTCATTAAATTCTAAATATCAGTAAGCTATTAATTTTATATTGTTTAAGCTAAATTGAATTACTCTTTATGAGTCAATTTTGTTTAATTAAACCTCCAATTCTTCAGTATAAGCTTATTCAATGCTCAAAAATAATTTGAAAGACTCAATCAGCAAAAAATGCATTTAAATATTTTTTATAGCTATAAGACTTGAAATTTTAGATTTTATGTTTGATATACTAAAGATTGTTTCATATATCCATATGCAGGTAGATTGAATTTCATTCTTAAAAAAATAATGATTTATAAGAATAATAAAAATAATTAGTTTTCTTATTTATGTTATGCAATCTATAATTTTAGATTGTCCTAGCCCAAAAGTTTCTTTCCTGTTTGTAGTGGCTGGTAATCTAAAATGTGAGTAAAATTCCAAAGTATTATTGGGGATTTTTATCCTTAATTTCAAGCATTTAATGAGCTTGCTTTATGAACTTATTTTTAAAATTTGTATTAATTCTCTCAAGTTACGCTAAATTATTAAATATATCTTACAAAATCTTGGGGTAAAATAATTTATTATCATAATAAAGGTGCCTTGATATTGAAAGAGGAGAAATATTGTGGTTTGTAGATGGCAATTTTAACAATAAAATAAATTATGGTTTTTTGGAATTAGGTTTGTGGGAGCGGTAATTCTGATAACATGAGAATTAAAAGTGGATTTGATAAGATTCGATTGAAGATTAATAAGGATAGGTGATTGAGTATTATAAGTTCAAAAGATTTCCCTAATTTTTTTAGCATGATTTACTCAAAATTAAAGATGCAAAATTTATCAATCGTTTTTAATGTAATTTTGAAAGGTATTGTAGTAAGAATAATTGGAGGAGGAAACTATAAGTATAATGGGAAAAAAATTGATTTTTGGAAGGAATTATTCGAAAATCTTTCTGAGTAGCATTTAATTAAACTTGTAATAAGAAAATGAACTGGAAATTGGATTGCCATTTAGAATATCGTGAGGAGAGCTTTGAAATCGTGAGAAGTTGGAAGTTGACATATATTGGAGGAAGCTATGGCTAAAATGGTTTAAATCTGGATTAGGGAAAAAGTTTTCAGAGGAGTTTTAAATTCTAATTAATAGTTCCTGTCAACTTAGTGCAATAGTTGAAAATCAAAACCGGAATAAAGTTGGAAGAGTTACCAGAGAATATCTAAAATTCAAGGTTTTTAATTTGTTTTTAAGGTTTATAAAATTTATTATTACATTTGAGAGATAGGTATTATAATTCATAAGGAAATAATTGATAATTGGAATGAGTAACATGATAAATTAGAGAGTACTTTTTTATAACAAATTTTGTCAAGTTAGAAAAAGGGAAATACTAAACTAGAATAAAATAAGGTTATTGGACAATTAACTTTCTTGATTTCACACTAATCAAGAATTCATCAGAATTTACAGTTTAATATTAAACAAAGTTGAGATTGTTGTTATGAAATAGGGTTAAAAATGGATAAAGGATAGATATTGATAAAAATTTTGTAGGTAACTATAAGACTAATCTTCAGTTGAAATCAGATAAGGAATCAAATTAAGTGAAAATGAAATTAAATAATATCTGATATTTAAAGTACATTGCTAACTATTAAATAAATTACACCCTTAAACTTGAAGATATTTACTGTTGTAATTAAATGCAGGTGCTTCTTCTATTGCTGACTCCTGTTCTAAGTTTTGTAAATTTTATTAAAAGTGTTGCGTTATTTGCACTGATAGTACTCATCCAATTAGGAAGAACCTAAAATTCATCACCAACAAGAAAGTATAATTTATATCTTAAAAAAGTCTTTAGGTGATTTAATAAATTAGATAATCATTTACAAAATTGAATAATCATTGAGTAAATGATTGCAAAAAGACTGCTCCATAGCTTGTGAATGGCAGCTGGCAACAAATAAAATGTTATATTTGTAGAAATTTTGGGTAATCTCAAATTAATTAGGTTTTTGACAACAGGTAATTCATTAAAATTCACAGTTAATTTGATTAACTCATATGATAAGAAAATAGTACATTGAAGTTAAATATTTTAGGTAGTTGATTGGATAAGGAATCTTTGATCAAATTTTCAATCTAAAAAACAAATCTAAAATTCCAATCAGATTATTCTATTTCTTATTGATTGAAGAATAATCTAATTACTATTCGATTCTTATATTAAAACCAAATACTGGAATAGTTTCTTGAGACTATTTAAGCTAAGACTATTATACATATTCATGGGAGGTTTTATATCCCAATCCTCATTGAGTCGTTAATTCTATACCAGAAAGGAGGCAATCAATTTAATGTTCCCATTTTTTTGATTAATTATAGTAAAGCTTCAAAATACCCCTTTGAATTATTGTTTGCAAATTACAACTGCTTTGGTTTGCTTAACTATAAATATAAATTACAAATCAATGGATTAATATTGAATTATCCTGATGTTGATATATGATTCTAGTATACTGCCAGTATTTTGAAGCCAGAATCATATTCAGCTCATTCAGATTCGTAATTGGGAATTGATCCACTTATGAGTCCTTGACTATTCTCATATGATATTTTAAATAGTTCTCACCAAAAAAGATTGTTTTTGGTGATTAAGATCCTTTTTACAGTATATTTAATTGTATGATTTAGAATCATACATGAAAACTTTCCTGGAAGTTATTTGAAATCCAATATTATAAAACGTATGTCGAGATTATTAAATAATTAGGATACATTAATTGAATTATTAAATTGAGTCCTATGTATTAATAAATTGTTGGTTAGTTTTATTTTTTTCTCAATTATTCAATTTTTTCTAATCAGAATATACTTCTAAAAAGGAGAACAGTAAGAGATTAATTTGAATAGTGTTCATTTTAATAATTTGTTTAACTTCTAAATTTCACAAATTATTATTATTTTTGGGGAAAATGTTTTAGGGAACCTTTCTGGTACACATATGCAAAATAGAGATTTGCCTTACCTTTATTTTGAGGGACTGGTTAAGTTGAATTTGGCGATATAGGTAATTTAAATTTCATTTTCATAGAATATTATTCAAAATGATGAATCGTATTTTAAAGATACGGTTTTTTCATGTCATTCAATCTCTCTTCAAAGATTGTTGTAAACTCATGCTCGATTGAAGTGTTTAAAGCAATTTTTTTTAGGACTATATAACCTAAATCTGTATATAACTATCATTCCAAATTGACTGATTTGACATCTATTTATAGAACTATTTTAAGACTATCAAAATCTCAAATCTACCCAAGTGTGTTATAGAACACTTTCTTACCTTCATTTTCTTCAATTTATAGTCAGCCTCTTCACTTGGAAAAGATTAGTGATTTACAGGTGATTTAATACTATCGATATTTGTCCTATTAAACTTCTTAAACTAATCTTGAGTACAAAGCTTGTTAATAGGTTGAGGAATAGTAAAATGATCAATGTAGAATGATGATCTAATAGATGAGAGGGTTTTCGAAAATAATTTTTTATCATTATAATATTTATATTTCATTAATATTGTAATACAATTTTTCAGAATGAGCAGCTTGTGAGTTCAGCTCTTTATAATTTTAAGATTACTTCTTTTTGTGTAGAGCAAAGCAAAAACTCAGAAATTCTATTTTTCAGCCAATTCTAAAAACATTTTTTTTCTTTGTACACAATCTGGTTTGATTAGAAGACATATTGTTAGAAAATGCAGCTGAAACCTAACCAATGAGTATATTTAAATGGTATTACCAACTCCTAGGATAAACGTATCATTTAAAATGGATCTGATTGTAATTCTGGATTAATCAATTATTGTTCTCTTATTGTTGCTAAAGGCAATAAGATTCCCTCAAAAGAAAATATACGTGGTCTCTTTTGGACATCGGTTGTTTAATCTTTGACAAATTGATTGTGATCCTCTTAAATATATGTTATCGTGATTAATAAAATGGCCAATTTTATATTTATAAAATACTGTGATAAGCTAAGATTAGTTATAAATTTGACCATTTATAACAATCCTTTGTAGGATTGTAATTAAGTTTGTTAGAGACTACTAAGCTTACTTTTGAATATTAAATAATTATATATTGTAATATCAAATTTGTTGGCACAGAAAACTTGCATTTTATTACAATATATGCTTGGTTTGATCAAATCCATTAAATGTTCACTCTGGAAATAGTAAATTAATAGATTTTTTACAATTTGAATAAGATAATCAGTTTCAACATAATCAGAAAAATGGGCTTCAACAATAGGATGTTAACAAGTCCACAAGAATTCTCCACAAACTTCAGTCACAACTAGAAGACTGATGAGCCATAAATTTCATTATATAAATAAGATTAAGACTGCTCCAAAATTTATCACACCTGTGATTTAAATAGCTTCTTCCATTTCAAGATGAGTATTTTATATGGTGGTATTAGGAGGTAAGTTCCTGTAAACTCTTTGGCCAAAGGATTATAATAAGAAACATCATATAAAGATTGCGAGTATGCATTCCAAGTACTTGTGCTAGTTTCGAATGATTTTTTCTGTAAACATTTTCTAAAAATTACCTAATTCATAATCTTTTTGAGGGTTCTCTAGAGAATTTTATGCACAAAATTCTTTTAACACAGTGAGATATAGCTAGTATTTTATTCTTTACCTTTTACAACTTTCTTTTCTAATAAAGCAGTAAATCCCTAGTTGGTATAAATTAACTCTTTCTTTTCAGGTAATTTCAAAGCTAAATTATAGTCTTAAGTCTTTTTTCTCACTAGAAACAATGGATCTTATTTATCTTATTTTTAAGTTCCAACTCTCGTAAAGAATAATAAGGAACTATACCGCGATGTTAATTTAGCACCGCTTCTTACAAAGCTTTTTCACTTGCTCCATATACTAATGCTCTTATCGTTTTTGGAAATTTAGCTTTGCTACATTGATAAAAGTCACTAGTAATTAGTTACAGAGATGAAATTCCAGATATAATCTTAATTGAGCAAATAAAGACTCTCCAATTCCTCTTTATTTTTTTTAAAGCATAGTCTTTTTCTCAATATCCTTTTCAATCAGCAATTAATGCTTATACATACTATAGTCCAAAATAGTATGGCTTTGGATTTTCTTGTTAAAATAGTTTACCAATTTGAGAGACCCTTATTATTTTATTTATAGATTGTACAATGCAGTTCAATTTAATCCTTTGAATTCTGAGATCTACTAGTTTTCTTATAGAATAACACAATATTATTTTGATCTCTTTATAGCAAACTATTATCAAGTCTAAAATAAAGATTTGATTTAATAGATTCATGTCTTATTTTATTTCTATTCAGATAAATGAATCTCTTAATTGAGATGATAAACAACTATTCATTAATCTGAATTAAGAAATAATGAAGTCAGTGGTTTCTTTAAAAAATTTGCCTAAATACATAAAATGAAAATTAATATAATGCCAAAATTTACTTTATTAAAATTTGCCTGCTCTAACTAAGGTATTGGTTTAGTTTTAAATTTTTTCCTTGCAGATAAAAAAACTATAATGGATAAATGATTTTGATTATTTCAGATTTCTATAAAATTTATTACCTAAAATGATTTTTTTAATTGTTCTTATTATGCTCTTGTAACCACCTAAACAAAATCTTCGAGCAAGGCAACTCTAACTTCATAGGCTGCAGAAAATAATTTTGAGTACACCAATCTTTAGGGAGCTTTAGAAAATCCAATGGCCTTTTCTTTTCTTGATATTCCTTTATTTCAACCTAATTACACAAAATTTCTAATAATTATCAACAAAGTAATTTCTTCTAAATAGTTTCTATCTTTTGTCATAGCTATGAAAAATGAATTTGTGCAAAAATCTAATTAAATCCTAGACTTCTTTAATTAGGCAATCTTCTTTGGAAACTTGATATTTTATCTGAAAACATTATTTATAATCTTTCGTTGCTAAATCTATCAAATAGACAAGGCNTTAACTCTTTCTTTTCAGGTAATTTCAAAGCTAAATTATAGTCTTAAGTCTTTTTTCTCACTAGAAACAATGGATCTTATTTATCTTATTTTTAAGTTCCAACTCTCGTAAAGAATAATAAGGAACTATACCGCGATGTTAATTTAGCACCGCTTCTTACAAAGCTTTTTCACTTGCTCCATATACTAATGCTCTTATCGTTTTTGGAAATTTAGCTTTGCTACATTGATAAAAGTCACTAGTAATTAGTTACAGAGATGAAATTCCAGATATAATCTTAATTGAGCAAATAAAGACTCTCCAATTCCTCTTTATTTTTTTTAAAGCATAGTCTTTTTCTCAATATCCTTTTCAATCAGCAATTAATGCTTATACATACTATAGTCCAAAATAGTATGGCTTTGGATTTTCTTGTTAAAATAGTTTACCAATTTGAGAGACCCTTATTATTTTATTTATAGATTGTACAATGCAGTTCAATTTAATCCTTTGAATTCTGAGATCTACTAGTTTTCTTATAGAATAACACAATATTATTTTGATCTCTTTATAGCAAACTATTATCAAGTCTAAAATAAAGATTTGATTTAATAGATTCATGTCTTATTTTATTTCTATTCAGATAAATGAATCTCTTAATTGAGATGATAAACAACTATTCATTAATCTGAATTAAGAAATAATGAAGTCAGTGGTTTCTTTAAAAAATTTGCCTAAATACATAAAATGAAAATTAATATAATGCCAAAATTTACTTTATTAAAATTTGCCTGCTCTAACTAAGGTATTGGTTTAGTTTTAAATTTTTTCCTTGCAGATAAAAAAACTATAATGGATAAATGATTTTGATTATTTCAGATTTCTATAAAATTTATTACCTAAAATGATTTTTTTAATTGTTCTTATTATGCTCTTGTAACCACCTAAACAAAATCTTCGAGCAAGGCAACTCTAACTTCATAGGCTGCAGAAAATAATTTTGAGTACACCAATCTTTAGGGAGCTTTAGAAAATCCAATGGCCTTTTCTTTTCTTGATATTCCTTTATTTCAACCTAATTACACAAAATTTCTAATAATTATCAACAAAGTAATTTCTTCTAAATAGTTTCTATCTTTTGTCATAGCTATGAAAAATGAATTTGTGCAAAAATCTAATTAAATCCTAGACTTCTTTAATTAGGCAATCTTCTTTGGAAACTTGATATTTTATCTGAAAACATTATTTATAATCTTTCGTTGCTAAATCTATCAAATAGACAAGGCCTTCCTCATGATTAGAAAACAATAACAAAAAGATTCTCTAGAATCTCATTTAGATTAAACTTGTAACATATGAAAACATAGACGAATCAGAATCAGGATGCTTAACTTGTTATTTTTCAATTTGAAAAGCTATTTTTATTGATTGAATTTGGTAGTGCTGAAAATTACAATTTAGAGTTTTCGCTTTGTTTGTTTTCCAAATAAGAAGCATGAGTATGCATCAAGAACTACTTCTAAACAACCAAATATTTCCCTAAAGAAAAGCTTCTTAGACTAAAAATTTAACCCTATTCTGAAAAAAAATACCTAAATTCATATTAATACTCTTAATGCACCACATTCAACACTTATGACAAAGAAACTCACCCAATTAAATATAAAGTGAAACAATAATTTCATCCTAGATATTGTTAGCAGTCACTAAAAGAGTGTTAAGGAAGGGTGCCTAATCGAACTTTGAAGATTGAAATTGAGGGTAAATTTGAACAAACTTTAAAAGAAAAGTGTTTCAGATGCCACCTTATTGTCTTTGATTTACAATGTAATCACTTTTTTGATCCATTTCTGATGGTTTTAGAGATATAGTTGAACCTTAATGATCCAGACTTAAATTTTTAATAATATTTTAAACTATTAAAAATTGTATCAAATTAAAATTTTGATGCTAAGATTCAGTTTCTAACCCTCAGACTCACTCTATCAATTAAATAGCTATAAAAGACTTCTATAATCTAATAAAACATATATTCAACATCCGGACCATTATATCTACTGAAGTTTATCACTATATTCATTTCTGAAGATTTAATCAAGCATTATGTTTGCAATAGTACTCTTAAATTATTCTAATTAATAGATTTAATTGTCAAGCCTCCTCAAATTCAATCTTGGATACAAATTAAAATTAGTCACATTTATTTTCTAATGATAATTCTTTTCTTTTCATTTTATTTAGATCATTTAGATTCTTCATTTAATTAAATTATTATTTTGTAACCTATACTCCCATTACTAATATAGGTACGCTTACATTTCTTATAAGCTAAATCAGAACTACCAGCTGAGGGAGATAATTAATATTATCATGTATTTCTTTACAAATTTTGCAAAATTAGTTATAAATGAATTACCTCTTAGAGTAAACATCATGAAATTCACAGGAAATTTCACAAAAAGGAAGTTCACATTTTTAACATGAGATGAGTGTTTGTGGCAATATATTCACTAAATAGTTTTATCATACTTAATGATTGAGAACTTTTAGAATATCTATCTAAAAAATCCAAACAGTTTTTACTCTCTATTTTAATATTATTTTCAAAAATCTTCTAATCTACTCAAAAATTATTACAGGGAAATGATCAAAAGTATTTGGTTGCAATTTGGGACCAGTAACAGTACACTTGGAGCTACATTCATCAGTCGTGATAACAAAAGCATAGAAAGTACAGTATTTCATAGGAATTGCATTAGAGAAAGTTTCAGTTCTTGTTGAAAAAATCAGAATGTGGGGGTTAATGTTCTGTCTTGTTTGACTATATATATTTGGCAATAGGATTAGATGATAGTACACAAGTAGGCTTCTGTTTGTAATTGCCATTACTAACAAAAGTATAACTATTTTAAACATACTATCTCAAGTCCTTTCAACTTCAGATAGATTTGTACCAGTTTTGCAAGTTTTTCAATATGATTAAGGGATGATGATTGACAAATAGCCTTGGATTTAAACCATCATCACCATTTTTGTGATTTATTCTTTATAGGAATAACAAGTTGTGCAACAGTAAGCATCCTGGTATTTTAAAAGAATTAGTCCAAGAAGCAAGTGTGAGAAGAGTGGCTGTGGTTTCAAGATAAAACTCCGAATTATAGCATCCCTTTGTAAAGGAGTTTGTCACTACATGAACACACAGTTAAACATTAAGCAAAAGCAGTTGGATTTTTAAAGGTTTCGTGGCAATATTCAACAGTCGATTGATAAATTTAAGACAGATGTCAGTGTTAGTACTTTTTGAAACCAGTTCAGCGTTTCTTTTACCAATAAAATTTACAATAGTTGCACATTTGAACTAAACATTCTATTATGCATTTTTAATTGAATCTCTTGAATCAAAAGAAAATTTGTAACATCATTTATTTAGTGGCTAGCAACTATATCCAGCTAATAGTAAATTTTAAGAAAGAACAATTAGTAGCTTAGTTTATGGAGAATCATAAACATCTCCAGCCTTTTTCAGGTATAGAAAAATTACAGATAGAAGATGATAACCATATGTTAAAATTTAGAAATGTAGCAAGAGCTGAGGTATATACATATGTTGGTTTAATAAAGGATTGGCTGAAACTGATACACAGGTAAATTAAATCTAGGAAAGAAGAGGCGTATTTATTGCAACTACAATTTCACTACATAACATACAGGTTGGATCATAAGATATATGACCTCCAATCATTACGATAAGAAAAACTTAGCATAATATTTGATGAATACAAAGCATTCTAGGCTGAATTAAGCATTGCGTGCATGATAGAAATGATAAATAGAAGCCTATAATGTAGTTAAATTAGTGAATGTTGGACAATATTGTGAATATCTATAAGAGGAAGGCGATGCTTCATGTAATTAAAATTATTGAAAAATAAGTATAGTATACTTAAATAACTTGCGTAGGTAACTGGTATCCAATAATGTCTTATCACATCTAGTTGCTTATCCAATGCATCTCAGAAAGGAAGAGTTTCGTGTATTACAGGTTGGTGGAGAAAGCCATCACAAAATTCTATTTAAATTAGCAAAAGGGTAGGAGATTTGATCGCAATATGGGATGTGTCCTTCTTCAGGTGAGGGTGATGTGCATCTGAAAACAACTCTTTTATTCAACAATTAAGGTTTGAAAATTCCAAGGTTTAATTATTTCTAACAGAATAAAAATTGAGCTTATAAATGAAAATAACAAAGGTAGTGCAATTCAGTGAGTGCATCACTAAACGCATTTTTAGTAGTTGATCACTTATTAATATACTTAAGACAAGTGTTAGGTTATGGTTGTGAAGAAGGATAATTATGGTTGAATATTATCGAAAATTAATGAACCATCGCAGCAGGAATCTCATTAGCATAAACCTTTCATTCAAAAGTTTGATCAGTGTTCAATTATATACAAGTTTATGTAAGCAGTATCTTTTTATTGACCTGAAGAGGCAATTAAAAATCCACAAGTAAGTAACAACATTAACACTTTGAAAATTAGCTAGCTCTTTAGGTTTTTGTCATCATTTGTATTACATACAATCTGTGGACACATAAAATATTATTTTATTGGTGCTTCATGATCTATTAATACACTTAAGGCTTTTTAATTTGGGAAGTTTGGCATTAAAGCTGATGTTGACAAGGGAGAAGGAGGATTATATCAAAATCACTGAACCATACTTACGTTAATATGAAACTGGTAATGTATTTGCAAATACTTAAAGCGTGAGTTAACTTTGTATATCTTCATTTTATCAGGAAGGAGAAGTAAAACAAAAACTTGGAACGCAACAGGAATATGCGGTGCTTTCAGAATTAATTGATGAATTATTTGAGCATTGCTCTAAGATGCTTTAAGAGATAAACCAGGAGAAATGAAAAAAAATAGTAACGGCTAAGTTAAGGATTGCAGTTGATGAGAAATTCTATTGTTTATTTAAACATTAGAATTTATAGCTCCATTTCTACTACTTTCTGCATATACAACTAATGTGTATGTTCCACTATTCCTGGGTGAAATAATTATGTGTGGCTGTTCAGTATGGCCAAATTTAAGTTAATAATCAGGGAAAGGTAATGCCCTCATGTCACCTTTACGATATTAACTTTAAACAGTCCATCAATATTTTCGATCACAATCTGCTCTTACTTTTGCTAATTTTGATTACATTGTTTTGCGAGTTGTTCAAATTAATTGTAGTCTAAGTGATATACTCAGGAGCATATTTCAAATGTATCCTTGGATATAAGCGATGGTTGTGCATAGACCACAAAACTCTGGAAGTTGATAATAATAGACAGGATATTTAAGAAATAAAAAGGACTCTGATCAAATATGAGAGATTGAACGATCGGGAATACAACTTGACTTTCTTTGCCTTCATGAACTTTAGACAGATATAACTATAGCCAATTTGATAAAACCCAGAATTATTATGTGCTATTTGGGACATAGTTCATTGCAAAGCTGTTTTAGGGAAAAGTAGAATAACAGGCTCAATAGTTGTTCTTTAATTGTTCCTAGTAAAAATAAGAGAAAGCAAGCTCAAAATGTACTAAGCAACGGCAAGACACAAGCAGCACATAAATTCTACATCAAAGAAGTAAAAGAAAAGAATGCAGTCGCGGGCTTCTATCTTCCCAACTGTAAGCTATATATGAATTGGCTTTAAAGAAAAAATTTAACTAAAATTTTATGGTACTTTCATTCCTTAGAAAATATATAAAAGGAAGTAATACGTTTAATTGAGAAAAAGGAATGCCTTACAAGGATGTAAATACTTATTGTTGTGAAAATTGCTTGGTTAAAAAGTTCGAACAATTAATATAAGAGTATTTTTTAATTTGTTCTTTAATATTCCATATTAATTTTTTATAAATATTATTAACAATGATAACCATTTCTTCTATTTCTTTTCCAAAATTTTAAAGAAAATTGTATTAAAATAAATGTTATTTATTAATTTATTTATTTCATAGGTATTTGCTTGAGCAACTTTAATTTGGATCCCTAGGAAATTTAATCCATGTTCCGGCAGTACTGCTAGGAAAATTTATCCATTTATCCATTCAGCCGTACTAAGTCTGGCAGGTGGTACCACCCTGGGATTTGTGAATTTGAAAATATCCCAAATCAAGGGATTTCAATTTTTGTTTAAAATAAGGTAAATGTAATACCTATATTAAAATTAACCTTTTGAATTAAAACTTTTTATTCTTTTGGCTGTGCTTAAGAAGATATCATTTTTTGGTTCTTGGTTATTTATAACTAGATAAAATGATCCTCAAATACCATTTTTTTTTGTTGCTGAATAAAGAATAAATGTATTGCATTATAATTTATTTATTCTTCTGTATAAATTATTAATTGAAATAAATTGAATGTAAATTTGGTTTCAATTACTTTATAATAATAAATTTGTGTTTAATGTTGGAAAATAATCTTTTTAAAACAATTGAACATGAAGTAAGTAAATATAAAGATTTATCATTTATGCGTAATTGTTTAAGAATAGATAATTACACTATTTTAAAATAATGAACATTTCATAAGTTATCTTACCTAAAAATATATTTATTTCTGTTTGCTTTTATTTTAAATCCAGCTGTATAAGTGTATCATAAATGTTTCTTGTTAAATAATGTACATTAAATATAACTGTTTAGTATATAAAATCTTTCCTTGACATGTGTTAATTAAAAGGGCTATATAATTGAAAATTCATGTAAAATCTGCCCTATAGTGTGGTTGTGGTGAGAAAAGCATCTAATTCAGTATATACATTAGGTAAGGTCTATCGGGGTAGCCTAATGTTCTTGCTTAAAAACCTACGAGATGTGTAGTGCAACTGGTTAGTTAATTTTGCAATCAAAACTAGTCTTTCTCTAATTTTTATGTATGATCTTAACAATTAAATGAGTTGAATATAAATCTCCACTTCTAATGTATTGCACTAGCGCTGAGCCTCTTTTTCAATTACTTATTTTGGCACAGATAATGAGTAATATAGATTACATGGAATTTCATCAATTCTATTGAAATTCTAATCCTATTCTAAATATTATGTTATTGTATATTGTAGGTAGTCATTAAAAATTACCTTCTTGTTTCCCTCACGATCGGATAGTCTTTTCATTCCCTAGTAAACTTGTTTCTTGGAAGTTTATAGATTCTTCTAAGTTTAACTTGCTTTTTAATTAAAAATACGATTGGGATTGTGGATCAAATATAACCCTTAAAAAATCCATTTTTGTAGTTAAGAAATGGTATCTTAAGAAAAGTAGCCATAAGATTTCTTTAGGTGTTTAATTATATTTATACAGAATTCAAGGTATGTTAGTCTAAACATTTAATTAATGGATATTTAGAATGTTAAATTAAACATTTCAAATTAATTCCACCCATTTCCAAAATCAATAATTTAAGTCCTCGATTAGGACTCCAATTTTATTCTCCTTAATCGAATGGCTCAAGATTAAATTTTTGTAGGAATATCTTGAATCGAAATGGAAGACTTTTCAAATACATCATTTCACTAACTTTCATATTATACCCGAAAATGAATTATAATGATTAAAAATTAATGATATACTTGCTCTCCTCATAACTTATGATTTATTCTAATATTCTTGTAGATGATCTAGGAATATAATCTAAGTCACTAAAGTAAAGCATGTTTTGCATATTTTGAAAGATTGTTTCTATCTCCTCCACTCTTCCTCAAATCATTAAAGTGAAGTAGGAGTTTTTAACAACTTTACAAGCCAATATGTTAGATATGTTATCTAATTAGGATTATTTTAATTCTATTAAAGTCTGTCTGCACATTCTGAATATTTCTAGTTAATCAATTGTACAAATTGAGTTTATAAAACAATAATGAAACAATAATTGAAAGTAATTATATTCAATACTATGAAAACGTTTATGACACTAAAAATATTCATTACAAATATATCTGGATTTCGCACATTTAAATGTTAATAAAACATGAGATCCGCCTTAAACAGGTGACATCCTGATTAAGGAATAGACACAACCTAAATTTCACAGCATTTAGACAATAGTATTAATATCAAATAATTTGTATCAAGCTAAACCCAAGAATAATAAAATTAGTACTTGAAAACAAAAATGTAATTTTCATAGTAATTTTCCCTAGACAATTTTGTCTCTCCTGATGCCACTACATTAGCATCTGGTATTCAAATAACTCTGATGTTTTAAGGTTGTTATACACAAAAATGTAAAGCTTAATTAGATGTTGATAATCTGCTATCCTTTCTTTTAAAGCAATATTAACTTTCTAATTTAGTTTTGGAATTCAAAATTGAAGATCAAAATTTCCTAAGCTACCTCATGCATTTTTAAAAAATTCGTTAAGTATGTAGTTTTTAAGCATAGCATAAAGTGGAAATCAATTTATTTGGCTTAATTTTAGCAACCAATGATTTAATTGAATTGTATCGGAATTAATTGAGTGAAAACTATTTTCGAACTAACCTCTTCATTGATTAGAAAAATGGCTTTTTATGAAAGGAACAGTATACAAACAAGTTTGACTTGGTCGAAGAAATAAAAAATAACATAATAAAATTTTTTTAAAGGCATCAACAATTTTATGTGTTGATTATAATAATGATTAATAAAAAGTGAATATTATGATAAACCTTTATGATTATTAATTTGAATAATTCATTAATGAACTTATATTTCAGTTCTTTTAAATTCATACACTGTATAACCTTGTGTTTTGCTATCCCAATATATTAGATATTACATATTATTCGTAATTGTTCCATAAATGTTTGTTGTTTCGCAATTCAATTGTTAAATAATTTTCAGCTTTCCCTAACCAAAATCTTTTAAGAAATATATATGAGTTTTATGTCTTACAATAATTAGCTAAGTTTTCTCATCTTTAACAATTGGAAAGAGAAACATATCATCATTTTCTCTTTCTTAATTTAATTCTATAGTTTATTCAGAGTTTTCTTGGAAACGTCCATTTTTCCTTTCAAAAACAAAGATTTTATCAGCATCCCTATTTGCTGTAACCCAAATAAAATAATTTTCAGATAAAAAGAAAAGCTTTTTTCCGGGATAGTGTTGTGATTGGCTTTACTTAACTAATTATTTAAATTTCATTTTATTATCCTATCCATTTTCCCAAACAATAATTTCAGATCTCAAATTAGAGCAAGACACTAAAATATTTTCTGATTAATTCAATGACATTGAGAGTACAGAATCTTTGTGTTTACTTAATTCATATACCAAAATTAACTCATTCATTTTTAAGTTTACTTTCCAAACTATAATTTAGTGATCATTCCCACCTGAAAATAATTAGTCCTCCTTTGAATTTAATAGCAAACTATAAACTTTATGTTTTTTAAAAGGTTTTGAAGAGGTCCAAGAATTATTCTATAGTTTCCAAATTCTTATTGTTTCATCATCTGATCCTGAAAAAAAGGCCTCCTATTATTTGCTATAAATTATGCAATTAACCCAATCATCATGATTCCCCAAATTTTGGGGCATATTAATTTTACCGTTATCAAATCTCCAAATTTAAATATTCTAGACTTTTGTAGATATCATTAATGAATCAGAAAAATTAAATGCTATATTCAAACAACACTCTTTTTGGGGCACTTATTAATTCATTGTCAAATTGATTTAAGTTTCAAAATTTGGTACTTATGTTTCCTTCATTAATTTGGTAAGTAGCCTTGAAAATTTTTGCTGCTCATTTTAATAGTCGAAATTGTACTCTCTGAAACGATTGCAAATCTTGGTTTTATAAATATAGTTGTTTAAGTTAAATTGTTATTCAAATGAAGTTGTTTATTTTGTTACCAATTATGATAATTCTTGAAATTTATTGGAATTTTTATTCATATATTATAATTCTTAGTTCCAAATTTAGAGAGTTGCTAGAAGATGATCAAAAAAAGTTAGAATTTATGTTCTAAATTCTCTTGTTGAATTTATTAATTCAGATAGTTTATTTTTTTGTGAATTAATCTTTATTTCCACTAAATCTAATTTTTCTTCAACTTTCTTCATCGCATCTTACAATTTTAGGACTTAAAGATTTTGTCTACTTTCTTCTTCTAAACATTTCTTGCATAATAATGATAACTGAGGATCATAAATAGCATATTCAGCCTATCCATCTTTATTAATACAGTTAAAATCTGGCTATGTTTCTAATAATTAATACATAATAAATAATTTTATTTTTCAAGATAAATATTATACAAAATTCATTTAATTTTCCATTTTATCTATTGAATCATGAACTACTTTGGATTTGGAAATTCCTAACTTCATTTAAATTGATTAAATTAATACTAAGATTAATCTAATATCATATTAAATCTATAGAAGCTGATGTAGTTTGGATTAGAAAATAAAAATCAAATAGTTTTTGATTTAATTGAATAAAATATCAAAGCCCCTTCCCTTTAAAAAACATAAATTTCAAAGATCTGATGATGAACCATATAAGGATAATTTTCTGGGGCTGAAATTATGATATCAAAAGTAGTAAAAAGCACACATTTATCAGTCTTCATTAGATATTTTACATTTTTTAATTTGAAATTGATTAGGTCTTCAAGTGACTAGTTTATCTTGATGTATTAATTATTCTTGCTTGCCCTTTTTTAAGTATTCGTCCGTCCAAAGTTGAAAATATGATGAAGCAATATTTTAGATTTATATAAATTATTTAATGCTCAGTTTCATCAATCGTAATTTCTCTATATTTTTTTTGCATTTCTTTTTAAATTTCATTTAATAATTATTTTATTTTTGCTAGCCCAATTTCAAACTTAAATTTTGAAGAGTTCATTTAGATTAATTGTAATTTCCTAATGCTTGAATAATGCTTGTAAATAAATTCAAAATCAAAGAAATCATCTAAACATATTGTAGATGCATTTCAAATTTCGTCTCATAGATTTTTTGTATTAATTTTTTATAATAAAAATTAAGTTAATCACTCCTTCTTTGCTATTAGATTAGTATCTGTTCTGGCACTCACAGTCTTAAATTTTTCCATTTTAAAGGGTTCTTTTTTTTCTACTCCTTTGATCACTGCAAGTTTTTTGTGATTGCTTTCATGAAATAATTATGATGCCTTATTTGGTTTGACAATTGTGTTAGTCATTCTGGATTCCTACAAGATAGAAAGTGATAGGATATACTTGTGAGCCAGCCCTTTTGTAATATTTATCCAAAGTAATTGATGCAGCTTCTATTCCATAAGAGTTACCCATTACTAATTTCATAGGAGTAGATGGTCTATGCAATGTTTATAGTTAATAAAATTAACCTATTTTTTCTTCCGTATCTAAATTCCTCCTCAGGTAATTCAATTGCTTAAATATTAGTGCCTTTTTTAACTTGTAATCGAGCATCATGAGTTTATCTAAATTTATACATATCCTTAAAGAAATATTAATTAAGTTACATGAGCAGTGAGAGATCCATTGAAAACAGACATCTTATTAAGTTAGGCAAAATCTCTATTTGGAATTCTATCCAAAGATTCTAGGTGAAATTTCCAAGTCATTGTTACTGAAAATTACATTATTAGTATATAATTACCTTCTTTTGCTCCTTCCTTATCTCTGATAAGTGGAAGGCCATAAACAAAATCTTATTTTGGTAAATTGTATGTTGAGGGTTTTGGTTTTCCAACATCATCTTTCATTAGCACTGGGTTTGAATAATTATGAGAAAAGGGAGGAGTTGTATACATTATTAATAAAAATATGAATTTATTAAATTATGACTTTATCGCCAAAGAAAATTTGAAGTTTTTAAAAACATACAAATACAAAGGCACAGATCAATCGTTGCTGTATAACTATGTCCTCTCACCATTTGCTAATTGGTGTTTGAAGTATGTGCCTTTAAATGTGGCGTAAAAGAATATTCTTAAAAAAAAAGTCCTAATACATTAACCCTGTTGGGACTCATTTGCATCATTATTTGCCACATATTATTTTATTTTGTGATGGGAGACAACTTTTAAGGAACAATACCAGATTGGTTATTGTGGACAACGTTCATTTTACACATGATCTATATGGTAATTATAATTTACCTAAATTAGAATTTTGATAATTTGGATGGAAAGCAAGCAAGAAGAACAAGTATTTTAGTTAATTAATTGCATTTATAGACAATTCTTCTCCTTTGGGCATGATTTTGGATCATAATTTTGATTCTATGATTATTGCAATTTAAGGTAATATATGGATGTAATAAAGGTACAAATTTCGTCACATGTCTATAATGTGGACAATCATTATTGGCATTCTTATTAATATGTGTTCCAACTTATCCATTCTATATCATAGCACATGAAGAATATTACACACATGAAATGAATCTACCAATAATTAATGCAGCAGCAGAAGGCACTGTTTTTGTAGGATCATTATTTGCCATAAATGCAATTTTTGGTACTTTTGAAATTTTAGTTACTTTAGGTTGTGATTTTTGGACATAGAAAATGCCATAATTTTATAATTTATAATTCAATACAGTGGCAATAATCCTATTCTTTTTTGTTGTGGCCTTTGGACTACCTTATGTGTAAAAAAAAATTCAAATATATTTATTAAGGTTCAAGAAAATTACAAAATTTGTCCCGCTCTCCCAAGCCTTAAAATCTCAGAGATATATGCTATTCATCGGCCTGGTCTTATTTTATGTTATACTCTTTTCTCCAAGTGATGTTGGTACTAGACATATGAGAGCAATTCTCTATATTTTTGGTTTCACCATGAGCAAAGCAGTGGTATACCATCCTCATATTTAAAGGGTATTGTGGCTGTATATCATGTCAGCAATTAAGATTTGCCTAATTGTTTGAATTCTATTTATCTCTTCTTAATATTGTTGTTCAATACGATATATGGACAAGTTTTTGGAAAATGCTTAATTGAGGAGGGATTGTTATTATAAATAACAGCTGTGATAACTGTGCTTGTACACATCCATTTCTTGTACAATATAACTAGATAAATTAGCGAAGCTTTGAAAATTAAAGTATTTAAAATCAATAAATGATTAAATTTATAAATGGATATTAATATAGGAGAAACACTCTTCATTATTGTTGGGGCTGCCATTTCGATTTCAGTTGGTGAATTAGTCTCATGGTTTCTCGTATATCGAAATGCAGAATACAAGGACCTTGTATCTAGAATTGAGACTGCAGTAGCGAAATATAATAAAGAGAAAGAATCATTTGTTAAGTAATTCCTATCCATTTCTATTTATCAGAGAAACTAATGCTAAAAATCAAGAAAAGAGGTTGGCACAAATCGAATCACAAATTAAAGGATTGAATTATGAAATGACATTCAAAAAGATGATATCCAATGCAGCAGTAGCAATACTCTCTATTGTCACCATTAATTCAATTGGTAATTATTATTCAGGGATTGTTGTCGCCAAATTGCCATTTGAACCATTTTGGATTTTATAACAAATTACTCATAGAGGACTTAATGGAGAGGATTTAACAGATTGTTCCTATATATTCATATATATATTATCAGCACTCGTTTTTAAAACTAATATACAAAAAATATTTGGTATCAATTTATTTTATCACATTTAGGATTGGAAGGACCTAAAATGCCATTTGGTCCTGGAGGTCCTCAACCCAGTTTGTTCAAATAGTGAAATAGATGCATTACAATATTATTAATTAACTTTATTTATTGCTGCTATTCTATCAGCACTCTATAAATTGAATATTTTTTATTATTTAATAATCCAATAAAAACTACAACTATTGATGAGCAAAGAAGAGTATTAAAAATAAGATGACGCTCCTGATGCCAATGCTTAACCAACTTTGGGATAGCCAATAAGGAGGAAAAATAAAAAGAGAGCAATTTTAAACCCATAATAGAGTACGGGACATTGGAGTGAAGAAGAACATAAAACATACATCAATTTTCTCAATGTACATCGATCAGTCATGGAGTCCTCAGACTAAAAAAAAACCTCTAAAATATTTAAACTCATGAGTGAAACAATTGGAACAAGAAGTCCTTCATAATGTAGGTATAATTAATTTTGCATATTGCGAGATCTCATCATCAAAAATTTAATCCTTTCTCTCATCAAGTAAAAAAGAGGTAAAAAGGGGCTGGCCGCAAGAAAAAAGAAAGTAACTCTTAGGTAGATAAAACTAACAATGGATTCATGGAAAATGCTTGCTTTCCTTAATTTATGTTTTAACCTTCTGCTACCTATTTCCCATAATAATCTTTTGTAAATATTAAAGAATGAGATTATAGGATTTTCAGATGATGCAACTCCAATAGGTTCCAATGATGATGTAATATTTGGATCAAAACAATAAAGATGATGAAAAATTAGTAATATAAGATCCATCTGTTTGTTTTCATTAATTTATTATGAATCCTCAACAAATATATGATGAGAAGAACTAATTTTACAATTTTGGTTTTCCCCACCCTTAATAAATGCAATTTAACTTTAATTACTTTTAACAATTGCCAAATGAATTTTATGGTACCAACTCAGCTGAAATTATCCAAAAAGATAATTAATCAGAAGATCAATGATTTAATTAGATATATATAGTTTTATTTTGAATCTGAGAGTCTTTGAAACTTCCATAAACTTTCTACAAATAAGAGCTGAGGTAGCTGTAAGAACAAACAGAGATAATTCAAAACGCTAATCCAATATTCGATAGTAAAATTGGATTATTTTGATGCATGAGGCATCTAGGAATATGTTGTTCCAAAAATAATTTTCTATTTAATGATATTAAATTTTCTATAATTTGTTTAGTTGTTTTTAACTATCCTTTTAGTTAAACAAAGTTCTTAATTCATCACTTTTTAAAGTATAGAAAAAGAGAATTGAGCTGGTCCATTTTTTTCTGAAGCTCAAATTATTTAAGCAAGAAACATTTGTTTAATTATTAAAACAGTAGAATATAAAAAATTCATATAAACCATTCTTTATTTAAAGTTTGCATTATATTTATTAAAATTCTATCAGTCGAGCATTTTCAATAAAAATCTATTTTTAACTATAAATCTTATTGTAAATTTAGATAAGAATATAGAAAAATTTAAACGCATATTAAGTGTTTTTTACTTACATTAAATTTTCCATTCCTTTTTTTTAATTTCAGATAAATTCTAATTCTTGATTTGCAGTCGAATACAGTTTTGAATTAAATATTTCACATCAAATTTATAGATAATCTTTTAAAACTAATGAATAAGTTAGATAAATTAGAAGAAAATTTAAATATTTGAGAGCAAATAGTTCATGAAAACCTAAACTTACTTTGAAGGAATGATAAGGGAATTGATTTATACATAATCCTATTCAAAACAATTAGTACGTTCATAAAGATATTTTTAATTTTTGTTAGACTAAATATTAATATGATCAAGATAATCTCATTCTGGAACTATTCTTCTACTGTTTATAATTTGCTTTGCTTTATCTCTAAATTTGAAAACTACTGTAGCCTTTTTTTTAGAAAATGACATAGTTTTTCTTTGCTTTTCTAGTTTGGAGTCTTCTTCAATATCCAATTTGGAGTATTTATTTATATAAACATTTGGATAAAATAAGTATTTGATAAATCTTGATAAGTTTTAAATAAGATATTTATTGTAACAATTACGTACTACTAATTAAGTAAAATTATTGTGAGTTAAATAGTATTAAAAGTCCTTCTATAAATCAAAGCTTTCTAAGCACATGAATTTATCATTCAACTAATGTTAAATTAGATTAGATAAATTTTATAATTATATAACTTACCCTTCCTGCTCCTAGAATTACTTTAATTGTAATATCCTTTATTCTAAAGATTACAAATTGTCTTGAAGTTCCAAATCTGTAGTGGTTAATAAAATCATTTTTTTCTAAGGATCCTTTTCTATTTCTATTTTTAGATTTTTCAGTCTCTTAATGAATTAAGATTACAATGGCTAAGGGAGACATCTTTTTTTGGTAGAGAGTTGTTCCCCTTTAATCGATATTATTTATTGATTGCTTTTCTACGCCGTTCCATCTTCCTCCTCTTGTTTTTCAGGAGTGATCTGACTTTCCTATTAACTAACATTATCCACCAAAGAAGAATGAGCTCTAGGTATTATTTTCAATTCATTTGAAGCGTATTATTCAATAACTTATTGATTAGTAGATAATTTCATTAAAGGAGAGCTAGTATTCTACCTGGCTGCTCTTCTTGATTATTGTATTTCATTTAATTATCCAATTCTTTGTTATTTTATATGTTTATTATAAATAACTTATGAAGTTTTAATTTGTATTTATGGAGTTTATTTAATATAATCTTTAACTTCATCTGATGTGATACTATATTGAGGAGATTGCTGCTGCTCAATATCAATGTCATTTATTTCATAATATTGGCATTATTTCCAAAAGTCCTCTTTAAAATATTATGCTATTTCCATAATTATTTTTTGATCACTCTTTCCATTAAATTGACTTTTCCTGGCTTTTCTTTTTTATTTTTATCTAGGTTATTTGACAATAAAAGTATGAGATTTGATTATCTTTTCCTTATCCGCACAATAATGCACCATAGGACAAAATTTGCTAATATGATCCCTTGAATTACACATGTAGCATTAAATTCCGATATCTCTCAAAAACTATTCACCATTGTTATAAATTAAATCATCTCTAATTTAACAGTATTTTTCCTTATCTTCTGGAAACTCTTTCAATATTTTTAAAAACTAATTCCTAGGTAATATCAATAATTTAGTAAATCCCTTGCTTTTATAAAACTCATTACACTAGGTTCCTGTTATAAATTCATACAAACCAAATACTTAACCTTAACTTAATTATGTAATGTAGGAATCATTTTTACAAATATTTTAATCCTGAATAACCTATATTGTCCCTATTTCAATGAAAGTTAAATAATAATTTTGATGTGAGTCTGGCTAATCAGAAAAATCTACTATATTTTCAGGTTGAACATCCAAATATCTAATCTTATTTACTAAAGCCTTCGTGAAGGCTGGAGAAAGAAATTTGGAAAACATATCACAACTATTTAAAATGATTGAATTGGCTTCTAACATTAAAGAATCTCGTAGATTTTCTGATAATTATTCTAAAATTCCCTTAACTTCTTCAGAGATTTAAGTATTTTGACTTTCCCAATAATAAGCTAAATATTATCGAATTTTCACCTACAAGCCATAAGTGATCTTCTTTTTAGCCATATAAGTATTAATTACCCGTAACTTCTATAATTTTTATTCACTGTATTTGGATATTTCATCAATAATAGCTCCCACAGTATTTACACTATAAGGCAATTATATACTAAATATCATAATAAATATGATGCATGTCACATGTTCTAAATTAGCTAAAGTTTATACAATACTCTACATTAAGGGGTTAGGTCTCCATATCCTATTGTAAACATTGTCACTGTGCAAAAATAAAACGACCTCAAATATTACACTATCCATTGCTCATTAATTATGTCTTCCTTAATCATCCAGCTAGTACCATTGGTTATAGACGAACTTATCCTGCCACACTATTATAAATCTAATTCAATACCCCAATCCAAATACATGCAGAAATATGCAAAATGTACAATAATAAGGTGATTAATTTTGCCAGTTCTAAAAAACCAGCCTAAATTTTATTAAGATTTAAGACTTCTTCAAAAATTCGTATTAACTTAGTTATATTTTAGTATTAAACTGTAAACGACAATAACCCTATAAATACAAAGGGTTCATAATCTCCTATATAATCCCAGTCTATAAATAATAAACAAATTAAAAAGATAATTGAAAAGGCATCTAATCCATAACCCTTGCTAAAATTATGCTTTATTATTCTTGATCTTTCTGATACTATTTATCCGAACTAATAATAGGCGGTGTTTAAATTGATAAACATGTCAAGAATCAATAAAATTGTTTAAAATGTGGTTATTATTATTAATTTTTCAGAATATAACAATCTTTCTTCAAATACCATATCGATTGGAATTAGAATAATAAAATACAACCTAGTTATTGAAAGAACTACATCCCAAATGATCCTCCCCTTATTTTCAGGTTGAATTACTGGAATTTAGTGTAAAACCTATTAAAATTTGTTCAAAATTAAATTAGTTATCTATTTGTACTTAGAAATAAGTTTTTTAGTAAGGCTAGGAGATATAGATAGATGTAAGGTTTTCATCAATCCAAGGGGTTTTAAGGACTAGGACTTCTAGCCAAATATCTAATTGTCAAAGTGAGAAGAAGCATCATTAATTATTTCTAAATGTATTGGTTGTAGCTTATGAAACATATTTTTATTTCTCAACATTCTGTTTACAAATCTTCTAGTGTGAAAATATTTCATAAAACTTCCACTGACATTAGCCGATTATTTATGGTTTTTTGTAATCATTTATATTGACGACTTATGTTAAAGGGGTCTCTATGATAAATTTTGTGAAGGAAGTAGCATCAATTATTCTGACTCTTTTAGCCCTTCAAAATTAGGTGACAATGGACTTAAAATGGCTTTTTCTTTTAAGTCTTTTGAATTGGGAGGAGGCTCAACATCATATTTGCTATTTTATGGCTTTGGAAACTAAATTCCAACATCAGAAATTGATTCCATTGAGAGAAAGTCTATGCAATCCTCTGGTCTAAAGTCACTTATGATTAGGTTATTATCGGTTTCTAAATTAAATTGCATTCTGAATAAATTTTGTAATTTTACAAAATGTTTATTAAGAATTTAAATACTATTAGTTAACTACTCATGAAATTTATGAAAAAATTAATAAAAAAATCAAGGTATTCTGGGTTTTTCATTTCATCCTAAATTGATTCCTTATAATATATATAATTGAATTCCACAAATCCATGTTGGAGCCGCGAAGGGATACATAAATAATAAAAATCTTTTTCAGTTTAGTTCTTTATTCTCAGAATTTAGAAATACAAAAAAACCACCATTTGTATTTTTTTTATTTAAGGTTAATTTTCATTTGCGGATGAGTATTTTGATTAACCTGAATTATCCTCATAAACAATGTTATTCCCAAAAATTGTATATTCAATATCTAATGAAATTGTGAAGTATTTTTTTCCTAAAGCATATTAATTATGAAAATGGTTAGGAATTTGAGGACAAATAAATTTTCTACATTTTTCAAATATCCAAATCTAATACCTAGGTCAGTATTAGGAAAAAATATTAACTCTTTCTAACTTTGTTTTAATAAACATCCCAAATTTTGTACTTTATAATTACTAAATTCATGTTACAATTTAAATATCTACTTTATTTTAATACTTCCAGAATGATAGTAGACATTAATCCCTATGATGCAATTTATTTATTTAGCAAATTTTGATCTATTGGTATTGAATTTTTATTAATTTGGAAAAGGAAATAAATTAAAGTTAGCATTCTTGAATGTTTGAAGTTTATTCTTGACTGTTATTTTAGTTTTCATTTCTATTATAAAAGTAACTATTTTTATTAATAATTATTAAGTATTATTTTATTCTAGTCAATCCCTTAC